GGGGGGGGGGGGTTGTTGCTTAGCAAATACTATATTAGTTGTGTCGTGTATAATTATAATGTGTAGTCTTTGTCATGTGCACAAGAGATTATTGCAGAGCACAACTCACAAGCGCATGCTGAAACTGAAATCAATGCAACCTTCATCCCCGACCCCATCTGGTATTATTAAAATCATGCCTTACGACCATGCTAGTGTGAAGTTCATTCAACATTTGCACATTAAATGGGCCTTCTGTATTCACAAGTTTTCTGCATTCTAGTCAAAAGAATTTCCCATGTGTAATTAAAGGAGAGAGAAAAAAAAAGTGTTACTCTTTACGTGGAAGTACCTTGATACCATTATTCTGGACCTTAGAGCAAGTCCAAGGGAGAATGACATTAGCGGTGACAATCTCATAACTATCAAAATGTCATTTCAAATTCAAAATTTTTCATTTCAACGGGACTGACATCAAGAGTTAGAAAATGACATTAATGCTCTTGGGGTGACAATTTTGGCAACTCTAGGAAGAGAAAGGGAGAGGTTACAAATGAGTTTAATTATGGTCTTTAAGAGCAACTTCAAGGGAGATACTCATTAAAATATATTAAAATATTTTGGCAATAATAAAAAATATTAAAATGACACCTCATTTTGACACTTGTTATTTGAGCAGATTTATAATTCAAGAATGTCAAAATACTGTTCAAGATTACAAATAAATGATTTAGCATCCCAACATGACAACTCCCTTTGAAGTTGTTTTAGTATACCATACCAAGGAAAATAAGAAAATAGGAAAATCAAAGGACCATGTTAGGCAAGTAACAATACAAGAAGTTGGGACTAACCCCTAGTGAAATAAATCTACAATACTTGGGCTTGGTTTCCTAGGCCCATATTGGGAAATTCTCGCATCCCATTGTTATCGAGGCTTCACACAAAAATCAGGTATAGGGCTGTAACGTTGGGAATGGCGTACAATAAACCACCTCTAACATATTGCAAGCAGGAAATGAAAGATTAGGAAAACATGAGGGGGTGGGGTTCCCTTTTTTTTTGTAGAGAAAGAGAGAGAGAGAGAGAGAGAGAGAGAGAGGAAATGAAAAAGCCCACCCCCAACTGAAGACCATGTGGTAGGAGCAAACGTAGAGCCGAAACCAAGTGTAATAAAGCAAGAGGAACACGGACGTGTGCTGGCCTAAATCACTAGATGGCCCTGAGTCTAGTATATCTATTGGCAGCTACATACTAAAGCTTAGGGCACTTCTGTAGGGCTTCGTGGTACTATCATCTATCCATTAAGGAAGTCAACTTTGTCAGGTTAACAGTTATGAGTTGAGACTAATTGATTTTGTATAAAAAATTAATAAATATACAAATGACTTATTTAAATAAACAAATGAAAATCTTCAAATCGAACATAATTTTTTTATTAAGCGAATTATACAATATGATTTGTTTAACCTTTTTAAAAAATGAATCGGGTTAGGTAGGATCATTTTAACACGATAACTTTTTTAACTCGCCACCCTTTTAACCCGTTTGTCATTAACAATGTTGTATAACTAATTATTAAACATACCTGCTAAGAAATTAACAAACTACTAATAAAAAAATTCATTATTAAATTTTTTTTAAACAAATGTAATTAATAACTACATATATTATTCTGGCTAAATTCTTTTTTTGAATAATTATTAATTTTATTTAAAAGATAAATAGATGATAAACGAGTTGACATATCTTACCCGAACACAACTCACTTATTAAATGAGTCTGACGGGTCTACTGAATTTATCACCAAAATTCAATTAATTTCGTGTTAATTCCTGTCGGTTAATCTTGTTGCGTTAGTTTTTGAGCTGCCGGAAAAACAATTTCTCGCAGCAAAAATGGTAATTTGTTTAAGGAATTACAATTGTCAAGGTTAATTGGGTTACTTGCATTTACTTTACATTTAACTTTATGTACTTCCAACCAAAAAAAACGATAAGGTAATAGAAAATATCCAAACAAAAACAAAAAAAATAAAGACAAAACAAAAACACAAGTAAAGAAGTACTTAAAAATGTTGTCAAATCGTACTGAAAAGGTGAATTATTACGACTTTTGTCTCATTTTTTCCTTTTTTTGATCAAATTTAAGCTAAAAAAATATTATTATAATCTCCTAAATCATTCCTTTATTGATTTAGCTATCTTCAAATTTTTTACAAAAAATCAGATTAGATGTTTTGAGTACTTGATCAATCTTATTGGTATTGGTAGTGTTATTGTTTGATCATAGAACTCTACAATCTCCTTGATGAGATGATCATAAGTGATGGATTAATAGTATTGCCATGGACCAAAAATAATATTTTGTTCTCTTTGTATAGGTTTTAGACTTGTCATTGACAGAAAAACAATGCCGACCACTTTGTCACGTAGCTATGCTTGAAAGCTGCTTATAGTTTGAATAAAAGCATCTGTATCATTCTTATTATTCTGATCCTTGATCATCTATACTTAAACAGTATATCTATCAATCTTGTAGTCTCTCTCTCTCGCTCTCTCTCTCTCACACACACACACAGATAAGAAAGCCCAAGGGCAAATGCCCACCTTCTGCCATAAATTAAGCAAAAAAGTGCATCATCAACCACCTAAACCCTCAACGACTTATGCAATAATGTTAAAAGGACATAAACTAAGGAACAAGATAAGATTGATTAGCTAACCCTCAATTATAGAAAATACCCATGGATGAGGAACACCCAACACTTTTAAAAAAGCAAGGTATCCCAAAGTTCTATTGACCTAACATTGTTTCTTTCCCTTTATTTTTGCCCCCCCCCATCCCCGCAATATCAACTACTTTTAATAATAAAACATTTAATGCATCATCAGGGTTGAAGAATCATCACCACTAAAGCCAACTCACCATTATCTCTTTGGGTTTGGTAATACTATTTCTTTATACTGTTGTGCTATTAGATCAGTATTCAATAATAAGATTTTTAAAAATAGCGGGATAAGAACGTTTGGGATGAAGCCATAGGATTAAGAACAATGTGTACCATTTAATATTCATATGAAAATGACTCCCAAAGATATCAGATGGAATCAAGAAAGGATTGGGAGAGAAGATGCTTGTTTAAGTATTCATTTTTTTTTTGGGTTCTAACATTATTTCAATCTAATGGGAGAGAGAGAGTTCTCGAAGCATATGCTGATACCACAACTTTCCTTCGTAACTTCAAGATTAACTCAAGTGATAATAGAGACGAATTATAAATTTAGAAATCTTAAATACGAAACTTGACAACCCTTTGAGTCTAGGCTATAAAAGATTTATCTTTCATAAATACCCTAATTCCTGCGTTAATGACCTACATTTGACTGAATGAGGAGGAAATTAATCGAAGCGTGCATAAGCTGACTCGGATATCTCTGACCGTTAAACAAAAAAAAAAAAACTTTCCTCCATTATATTGTAGTACATTTTTTGCAATTCCTTTTATTGATAGATTCGACTCTCGTGAATTTAAGAAAAATTCAATATATATAAACTTAATCTTATAAGAATGTTTTTCATTAATTGTTTTTAATTGTAGATCACTTGTCATGAATTCAATTAAAACTCACGTTAAATAAGTGTGTGAATCAATCCATGCAGGGTGATCTAATGTTGAAGGAAAATCTATTTACAATCCAAAACTATTCCTCATCAGTCTATTCAATGTGTTGGCTTTGAAGTTTCGTTCCTATATAGTACCACATAGATATCTAACAAATTGAAGTGATTTAGCACGTGGAAGTGTGAGGTTGTACAACCCTTAGGGATAGTTGAAGTGGTAATAAAGATAAATTATAAATTTAAATGTTCTAAATTCGAATTTTGACATTTTTTTTTAAGTAAAACTTTGAAAGATTTATCCTTCATGAATATCTTAGTCGTGGCGTGAATCATCTGCTTTTGACCAGACCGAGATGAGAATTAGTCAAAGTGCATGAATTGGTCTGAACACCCTTTACCACCGATTTAAAAAAAAAGCGTGAGATTGTATCACCCCATATAACTATTTGAATGAAATTGAATTGTCTTAAGTTCTTGTTTTCCTTTAAAAGTACTGCGAGGTTTGGAGTAGTTGGTGATCGAGATTATAGATAAAGAACACGACCCGTTTGATTGATTTATGTGTGTGTGTGTGTGAGAGAGAGAGAGAGAAGAAAGATGACAGCTAAAAGAGATAAAATAAAAAACAACAGCATTACAACAGACACCCTTTCATGAAGGGTAAGTTTATCTACAATTTCATGGGCCACTCAATTTTCACACCCATGCCCAAATGGACCTTCGTACAAACATGCACGCACTAGATCTTCCATTCTTATTCTTTTGGAAACACCAACCAACCACCAACAAAAAAGTCTTTAGGCGTTGCTCCTGAAGGATCCAAGAGCCTTAATTGCAGCAGCTCTCAGAATGTACTGGTGGTAAAATGCGGCAATGGCGGCTCCTATGAAAGGTCCGACCCAAAAGATCCACTGAAACAACATTCGTGTACAAATAATATGAGGATCATTATAAATAATTGTTATATCTGAATCATATATGTTGTGATCAAAAGGAGAGTAGGTAGGGAGGGTGTATAGTACTTGGTCATCCCAGGCCTTGTCTTTATTGTAGATCACAGCAGCTCCAAAACTTCTAGCAGGGTTAATACCAGTGCCGGTGATTGGGATTGTGGCTAAGTGAACCATGAAGACGGCGAATCCAATGGGGAGTGGAGCCAAAACCTTAGTTGTGGATAGTCAACATTAATTAACATCATAAGCCACTCAAATTCATGTATCACCATTGTGCTATATATATAACAAATAAGCACATTCAAATATAACCTCCCTTTGTGGGCATGTTTGGTACGTGGGTTTGGATGGAATTTTAAGGGGTGAATTTGTGAAAATAGTTCAATACACCTTCTAAACTCATGTTTGGTTAGCTCGGGATTTATAGGGTAAATGAATCTTGACTCACTTCCAGACTGTATTCAACCCACAAATGGGAGTTTGATGAAACCCAAGGGGTGGGTTTTAAAAGTGAATGTTTGGATTTGAAAACAAAAAAGACTAATTTACACAAAAAATTATTTTTATATTCACCTAAAAATGGACATTTTAGTAAATTGAGTAATATGATTTGACATAAATTCATGAACCTCACACATACCAAACATGAGATTGAATAATTTTTTTTTTTTTTGAATTCCATGTAGAAATCCTTGGGGCTAAGTTTAAAAAGATTTCATAAATCCAATCAAACTCCCCAAAAAATAATAATCCAAACATGCTATCTATGTGTGCGTGTGCAAGTGACACATGAAGAACCAATAATAATACTCGGGATCTAATAATATAACATAATTCGTTATTCTAATTCAAATGATGTGTCACAATATTGCATAGTGTCTAATATTTCAATATGGGAACAAAATTGACTTCATTAATGTAATAAATTTGATTTTATTTTATAATTTTGATGGAGAATAGTTATCGTTTCGATATCGATATCGATATCGATATGTGAACAATATCTACTTAAAAGTCTTAGTCTTACTACATATGGGCATTCTTGAAAATATTTGTTTTTTCTTAGCTGACTTCAAAAATTTAATTACCATTAGTTTTACTAATATCCTTCCGTCAATGGAGATCAGTCTGTTATAACTGGAAAATATCAGGGGTCATTACGTTATTTTCAAAATATTAGCAGTAATTCATATAATATTAATAAAATTCAAGAAACCCTGTATATTTTTACTTCTTTCTTCCAAGTTTTCAAAACAAGGAGGAGGAGTGTATGATTAGATGCTTACGGGAACATGGGAGTCTCTTGCATTCCTTTTAGGATCAGTGGCTGAGAAAACAGTGTAGACCAGAACAAAGGTGCCGATGATCTCAGCACCCAAACCAACGCCTTTGTTGTAGCCATCAGAAAGCTCGTTGGCCCCACCACCGTAAAGGTCATAGTAAGACTTCTGGAAAGCCTTCACCAATCCTACACCACAGATTGCACCTAAACACTGTGCTACCATATACATAAAAGCTCTGATAAGAGACACCTTCCTTGCCAAGAACAGTCCAAACGTCACAGCTGGGTTAATATGTCCTCCTATACACATTAGAACCAACATGAGAGCTTAATTCGTATAAAAACTCCTTCAAACTCATTTCTTTGTTAAATACGAACTTAATTTAAACACATATGATTGCATATATACGAGCCAAACTTAAGTTCGAACATAAACCTAATCTAGTATTTAATTAAACTCGGATATAAGTTCAAGTTTGGTTTAATCGCCCTGAATGTAAACGAAAAATTACCAAGTTCAACTTCAACATGCTATGATCACGACTTGACCCCTTTGTTTTTTTAGCAAAAATATTGGCTGAATTCAAATAACTTTGATGTTCAGCATGATTTGGTTCATTTGCACTCATATCAATAAAACCAAACTTTTAAGCAATATAATTTTAAGGGTTAATTCAAACAGTAATAGAGATGAAATATAAATTTAGGTGTCTTGAATTTGAATATTTGTGATTTCTTAGAGTCAAATCATAAAAAATTTATCTTTTATAAACATTTTAATCTTGACGTAAATGACCTATTTTTTACCGAATCGAGGAGGGGTAAGTTGATCCGGACATCCCAAGTAATAACAGGGACGAGTTGTAAATTTAGACGTCATAAATTTAAATCTTTACAACTCTTTAGAGGTAGACTATGAAAAATTTATCTCTCATAAATACTCTAATTTCAATATAAAAAACCGATGTTTGATCGAACAAAAGGGAAAAAAAAAATATGTTAAACAATAAGGGTTAGTCTTTTTTGCTGCAAAAAAAGCTCGTAGAACAACATGTAAAGTATTATAAAACAAGGTTCCAACTTGCAATCTTAAAATTTAATAGCAACGACGGTGGCCATTAGTCGACCGCTAACCTCAGAAGTCAGAACAAGAAATGAGCTATACGCACCGGAAATACCGGCGGTGCAGTAGACGAGGATGAAGATCATTCCGCCAAAGGCCCAGGCGATGCCGAGGATGCCAACACCACCACAAGGATCGCCCTGATGGAGTGGATCAGTTAGCCTCTTGTAGCCGATGACGGTGAGAACAGTGATGTAGAGGAACAGAAGGGTAGCGATGAACTCGGCGATAAGAGCCCTGTAAAAGGACCATTTGGTTAGTTCTTCGCTGTCGATCAAGGCAGCCGGAGGTGGATCGTGGTAGTCCTTGGCTGAGTACTCGCTGTGCTCTGCTACCTCTACGTCCTTTGTCATTGTCGCTAATTTTCTGCAGAGAGAGAGAGTGAGTGTATGAAGAAATAGGGCAGTGAGAGGGAGAGACAGAGTTGCTGGGCAATGTGTGTATTTGAATAAGAAAGTGAGTAGAAGGGGTTGGTATTTATGGGGACTGAGAGACTGAAGCGGGTTTTGACGCAAGTGTGAGGTTGTTTGGTTAGAATACACACATTCTACGGATTACATTAAAAATAAGATTAATCCCACAAAACCTACATGAAACCTAAATGCAATGCATATGGAATGAACGAGCCTCGTCAATTTTTTTTAATGAAACTTACTTATTTTATACTTATTTAAGAGATGATATATATTCAAATTTTAAATTTGAGCAAAGTTATATAACTTAAATCTACATTTCAAATGAAGGGGATCATTGGATCAGTGAATTTCATTTAAAAAAGTTGATGAAACTCACTCATCTAATGATCTCCCTTCATTTGGGATACAAATTTGAGTTGCATAGTATTTCTTTTAAATTTTAGGTTTTATTTAGGTTATGAAACATTTTTTTGGGTTATGGACCTAAAAATTTAATCTTATTTATTAAGGCAATTCATTATGACATTTGCATTGACAATAAATTTCATTAAATATTAGAACTTACTTTTCATTTAAAGATTTCAAAGAAACCACATCATCGAGTCAACAAATAAAGTCAAAATTTTAAGACCAAATAACATTACTCTTACATTAATTGTGAGTTCTAATGTTAGATAAATTTCTAATTTCACGATTGTATTGAATTAGACTTTTGATTACATCCTCAAATTAAATCTAAATAGTGTTTTTTTAAAATAACTTTATTGAGACCTAAAAAATTGATTTAATTTATGAACATAATGGTGTGTTAAGTAATAAAATTCCAATGAAAAATTTTAAAAGTTATAATCACAATAACACTATTAAAGAATATCACTGCTGCATCATTATGTTAACAAAATAAGTTAATTTTTTAAGTATCAATAACATTACTCGTTTTGGATATAATGGGATTAAGTCACGAAAGAGTAATGTTATTGGGACTTAAAAACGATACATTTTATTGACATAATAATGTGTTAAGTAATAAAGTTTCAATGAAATAATCTAATAGTTATAATCACAATAATACTATTAAACCGTATCACTGTCACATCATTAAATTATTTTTTTAAGACCCCAATAACAATACTTGTCACGAAAATAATCTCTTCGAATCCATAATAAATATTAAACATCTGACTTTTTTTTTTTTTTTTTTTTGGGTTTCTATTGGAAAGAAAGAGGAGAGAGAAGGTTACTGATTGAGAGTGCATGTATTAGTATAATTATTAAATTAAATTTTTTGCCGCCCATACAAACTTATATGAGAAATTGCTTAGCTTTCAATGGTCCAACCACTCTCTCTCTCTCTCTCTCTCTCTCTCTCTCTCTCTCAATTTTTTAAGTCATCTTCACTGTGATCTCACAACGGTTGTCAATAATTAGGTAAAACCCAACGGGCTAAAACTTCTAAAAAGTATAATATTATATCGAAGATGACAACATATCAAGTATGCACAACGGCCATCGAGTGTGGCAATGGTTTTAGATCCAAGGAAATTCTATGAATTTTCTTAATGGTAGGTTGTTCACCTTCCGTCGATGAAAAATCTATAATATAAAATAGAATAAATTTTAATAAATTTATTTGACGGTCTCAAAATAGACTTATCTAACAATTACCAACATCAAACCATTTATATTGAATTTTGCCTATCTCTTTCTGGAATTTTCACTCTTCACTTCTCCAAATTAACCGGTTAATTTACGTTGTACGATACCTTCAAACACGAGTTATCCTAATCAATTTATATATGAGCAACGTTATTTAAATTTAATTTGAGCTCTTAATTCCTTATAGGTGTTCGATTAATAGTAAGTTATAATTTCAACTGGGACAGCTTTTCAATCCAATAGTTACACTTTGGACGGAACCAAACAAATTTTTTTTTTGAGGGGAGGCCAATTAGTTAGTGACACTATGAAAAATTTTTACTCAATCAAGATCATTCAACGAGCTATCGTTAATGTTAATTTTTTAATTGAATGAAATATATTGAAATCGACGATTTACATGACATGTTATATAAATCTTTGCGAATTACCCTTTCTCCCATTAAATTATGGCCGAATATCACTATATTCATGAATTATCGATTTGAACAGATTGTACAATGAACCATACAAAATAGCTCATTAGATGATTTGGGCAAATTTAAATTTGAAGATCTGTACACAATATCACAAATTAGAATGATTAATGATACAATATCTTAGAATCAAAAGTCAATGGATAAAAGAAAATCAAGATCACAGTTTAAAGGTATAAATTTTTTTTTTTTTTTAAATTTGAGGGGGTTTATGTAAATTGGAATCAAAAGCATAATTTTAGAGGTATAAAACATCATTTTAAAATCTTGAGGGGGACTGGCATAATTGTAAAGGTATAACAAATAAATTTGAAAACTTCAAGGGGGGAGTCTATCTCATTATTAGATAACTCGAGTCAGAAAACACGATACAATGTAAATAATTTTGAGAGATGTTGATGGTCGTTAGATAATTATATTTGAGACCGTTGATTAAATTTATTGAAACCTATTCTGTTTTGATTATAAATCATTAGTCTAAAAAGTATGACATTAATTTTTCATTTTGAGATAAAATTAAAATAGAATAAACTAAAAAATTGTATTTTTATTTTTCATGGTCACTGAAACTGATGATGCCTAAAATAAATTTCAAGTGTTAGCTCAGGAGTTCAGTTAAGACCGGGAGGTCGGACATATTAATTGAGGTAAGAAGGCAAGGGCTGAATGTCTCTTGAGGCAAGGCAACGGTTGAATAACCACGAGAGGTTCCTAAAGCGTTAGGAAGCTATAATCAAGACACTTAATCTCAACCAACTAAGATCTTCTCCTAAAATTAAGGAGAACCCCACGAAGTAAGGGCAATAATCTCGATTAGGATCCCCCTTAGCAGGGAATGACCTTATAAATGCAATTTAACACATCCTAACAGGGAGAGGGGAACCCTAGTGGCAAAAGTAACCATTGTAACCTTGTAACGACGATCGTGAATAAAATAAAAAGGAGCAAGAACCCCCATTGAAAAATGGACTAGCCGAGCTCCTGAGCCGATGAACCACTATATTTTCACTGTGTGCACCCCTTTAATCCCTTGAATATTGTATGGTAGCATCATACACGAGCCTCGTAACTCTGATCCACGCTCATCTCACATTACTTTCACCTTAAGCTCATCCACGTTGATATACGTTATCAGTTTGGCACCGTCTGTGGGAACGATTGTTCCTGTTACAAATAAAGCTGATTTTTCAGTGACTGATGGTATCAACGCGAAACATGAGTTGAAGTCAGACCAATCCTCTACGGATGCAAGATCAACAAGAAGCCGCAAATAGCAGACAACCTGAAAACGCGCAAGAAGCAGATCCCCCCATGGGAGGCCTTCCCATGAATAATGAGATGGAGGCCCTTCGTCTTGTCAATGAACGTCTGATAAAACAGAACGAAGAGCTCTTAAATCTCCTACAACGCCCACATGAGGCGTGATCGGCCCAAGGAGGCCAGAATAATCCACCACCAAGGGAGCAACCGCATCTCGAACCCCTCAGAGAAGTTAATGAGGTGGGAGANCGAAAGATAGTTTTCCTTTACCCCGGATAGATTTGATTGTATATGCCACTGCGGGACATGAGCTCCTCAGCTTTATAGATGCTTTCTCTGGGTACAATCAGATCAGGATGGATCCCAGTGACCAAGAGAAGACCTCATTCATAACTGAGCAAGGGACATACTGTTATCAAGTGATGCCTTTCGGGTTAAAAAATACAGGAGCCACTTACCAGCGCCTGGTGAATAAGATGTTTCAAAAACGGATTGGAACCTCCATGGAGGTCTATATTGACGACATATTTGTCAAGTCACTAAAGGCAGAGCTCCACATTGGACACCTAGCAGAGTCGTTTCAGGTCCTGAGAGATTACAAGATGAAGCTCAACCCAGCTAAGTGTGCCTTTGGGGTGTCAGCAGAAATTTTTTTGGGTTTCATAGTTAATAGCAGAGGGATAGAGGCTAACCTAGAAAAGGTAAAAGTAGTGTTGGATATACAACCTCCCTCCAACGCGAGAGAAATACACCGTTTAACCAGAAGAATAGCTGCCCTGAGTCGCTTCGTTTTCAGATTAAGCGACAAGTGTTAGCCCTTCNTTTTCGATGGGACAAAAGATCCTGTGGATCACCTCAACACCTACAAAAATCAAATAGAGTTTCATGGATATCAAGATCCAGTGAGATGCAGGGCCTTTGTTATCACCCTGAAGGGCTCAGCCTTAGCATGGTTCAACAGACTCTCCCCAGCCTCGATTTTCTCTTTTAAAGAACTGTCAATCTCGTTTGTGTCCCACTTCATCGGAGCTCGGACCTATAAGAAACCGAGCTACCATTTGTTAAATGTGAAACAAGGACCTAATGAGAACCTACAGTCTTATGTCCAACGGTTCAACTCAGAATCCTTGAAGGTGGATGTCCTAGACGAAAAATTTGCTATTACAGCCTTCATAGCAGGTCTGGGAGTTTAGTCAAAAGATTTGATGTTTTTCATCTCAAAGAATCCCCAGGCTAGTATGACANAAAGTCCCAACAGATCAACCTATGAAGTAGGGGCTGCACAAGTCAGAATCTTCGGGGAGACTGGTTAAATGGGTCATTGAACTTAGTGANTTGATGTTTTTCATCTCAAAGAATCCCCAGGCTAGTATGACAGAGGTGTTTGCCAAAGTAGAAAAGTACATAAATGGTGAGGAAGCGCTCCTATCCAAGGTCGGGAGCCCTTCGTCGAGAAAGGAGAAAGGGAAGGAAGAAAATAAGAGAGAACGAAGTCCCATAAAGGAAAGAGAACGAGACAAGTCTCCAAGAAGAGACAAAGAGCGT